ATGTAAGAGCAAATCTGCGGTAAAACGATACATTCTATGGGAAAAGAAGGTGTGTTTTTACCCACCGGGCGGACCGTACAACAAGTAACACCATTCGACGATACAGATGTCATATTAACTAACCCATTAATTGGAATGTTCAAACGAGAGCGGGAAAGTCCTAATTTCTTAAAGCATCTTTCGGATATAAAATTGCCTTGGCTTCCACTGTCCAGTAGTACTCTAACTGTGTGGGAATAACCTTGGCTGTCCAGAAAATCCACTTTTGCAGTCGCAAGGAGCGTAAATGCACTATTAGAATTTATGGAAGTGGTGCCACAATGTGGTTGATCTACGGAAGAGTCATTAGCACTGGGCAAAACATCGTCATTAGGTGGACTACGTTCATTACCATGTGCCGACTCGAAATGTAGTAAAGAATGATGGCGTTTCGTACAAGAAGAACAGGTCTTATTAGAACTGCATTTCGAAAATTTGTGAAACGAACTCAAACAATTCACACACAAACGGTTGCGTTTAACTAGTAAATAGCGCTCATGAGGAGTCTTACTTAAAAAGACGGAGCAGTTTATAATGGAATGCTGGGTCCTACAGATACCACAATTCAATGTAGGAACGTTATTAGAAGGAGTATTAGTAAAAAATGCTTTGGAGTGATCACCATTATTCCTAGAACCTGACTTATGTTGACGGTTACTGGCAAAAGACTTACTATTATAAATGGTTCCGGCATTTTTTGATTTATTTTCTTCCTGAGTATAGGTCAACGTATCTAAAACCTTACACCTGTTATTCAGAAATAATTTCAACTGCGCAAAAGTGGGTATATCAAATTTTGCGTGCTCCATTTCAAATCGCTGTAAGGTATCAGAATCGATTTTCATTAAGAGTAAATTAAAAAGCAAAAAATCCCATTCCGCAGTAGGAAAGTTCATTAATTTTAATGCCTCCACATTTTCACAAAACTTATCAACAACATTACGCAGTGCTTGATTCGATGGATTTGAAATTTTGGAAATGTTCATTATTTCATTGAAGTAATGAGTCGATAAAAGCCGTTTATTGTCGTATCTTTTTATTAAAGTATCGTAGGCTACTGCGTAATTGTCATCAGTTATAGGAATATTTCTCAATAAACTGAGCGGTTCTCCGGTTACGAGAGTAAGCAGTAATTGAAATTTTTGTGAAGCGGAAAAGTTCATATTATGCACCGAACTCCTGTATAAATTAAAAAATGTCGGCCACTGTTTTAAATTGCCAGGTATATCTAAACGGGGAAGATTAAAATTTAGGTAAGGCGGCAAATTATGGCTCTGGCCTGGTGGCGAAGGTGGTACCATCATGGATATTTCAGATTTTATACAAAGTTCACTATAAATGCTTTTAATTGAAAAGTATTGATCATCAACTTCCGCTCGAATTAGCTCCTGCTGCTCAAGCATTACATCCGTTACTCTTTTATCAGAAATTATGTCCAAATGCAACCTATCAAACTCATTATATGTTGATTCTAACGCCGAATATCGTATTTTAAAATCATTAATTTTAGCTGGGTTCTGTGTAGCAGCAGTAGCTAAATCGTAGATTTCTTTCAATCTTGGTATAAAAACGCTTCTTCTATTTACTTTTGAATCTGCCATGGTTTAAAAATATTTTTAGAAATTTTCTATATCATAAAAAAAATGGCAAGAAAGAAGAAATTAAATTCAATTATATTAAAATATGCGAACAACCTCGTAAAATCCACCAAAACCACAATTGATAACAAAAAACAATCAAAATATCGTACACAAAATCAAGACCGCAAAAAACTCTAAACGATTTAAATTCTTTACCTGTTTTCCGATACTTCGTCAAATTTATTCAAGGTCGTCTTATTTAAACGCCTTTATAGTGAATGAAATCAAAATTATTTTTACCAATTTAGTATTAGAAAATGAATTTAGAAAAGACAAAATAATTTTATTTTTGAATTACTGATTCTTTAAAAATCCGGGCTCGAAGACCATATGTAAGAGACTCAATGTTTCCTAGACTTCCTTTTAGAAGCCGCGTGTGGAATAATAGTATACAAGTTCATCGAAATAAATTCTTAATTTAAAATTTGATCACAAACAAAACAAAACTACGGATAAACCCTCGAATTATAAAATAAACGGCCTACCTTATGTGCACTCTAGTGTAAGACCCCCGAGCCCCCTCGGATTTTCTTTCTCCACACCATGTCCATTGCAGCAATGTAGTGGGGGTTACCAATCGCAAACACGCGAAAACTATGCGCGGTAATTCGGCCAAACAAAACCCGAGGGCTCATATTATCGCGGTGAAATGACACGCGTTTTTTACCATAAAGTATATAAAAAATTAAATTAAATAAAAATTGATAAATGTATTCGATTAACCCCGAATCATAAAGAAATCAATATATAGAAAACCCAGGTAATGAATTAATATTTAGTGTCAATATACAAAATAAATAACCAAAACTGAACAGATAAGTTATCTGATAGCTGAACTGTATCTCAAAAAATAAAGGTGCTATGAAAATTTTGTTAATGGCACATTTAGTTTCAATCCAATTTCATAATTTATCGAATGACGGCTGTAGCACAAAATAGACCGAGCAAGTTAAAATTTATACTACTACTCTAAACTAACGAGATTATTTTTCAGAAAAAAAACACCTTTAACTGATAACTTAAACTTTTACGAAACTACTTTGAATAAAGCAACGGAAACAAAATTATTAGAGCTGTATCAAGGACTTTTAATCAAGAGAAAAAATATTAACTCTATATATGTAAAGTTTTGGCATCGTGTAATATGGAATATGAATTGTATTACCATCCATCAATAGTCACACTCTTAAAACTTAAACTTAAAGCTTCTCATGAGATGTGCTATAATCTTCTCTGCCACTAACGCAGCATTATATATGTATTAAGTTATACAGTGTGTCATAAAGAATCTTGAAGCGATTGTTCCTAATTTAATATCCAACAGCATTAATTGGCTTTGGAAGCTCTTCCAACTCCCTAATTTGGCATAGACCCATAAAAGTTACTCCACAGATAATAATCTACTGAATTTAATTCGGGCTACCAACTTGGCCAATTTACTGGACGACATCAACCTATTCATAATTTCCATCTAACCAAGTTCTTAAACCCTGACCGACGTGCTACATGTGCTGTAAGAACATCTCCAAGCGAGTACGTATGGGACTATTCTATAACCATTCGGCTAGATCATTTGGAAGAAAATTTAAGTAACATTTAGCATTGCACTAGGACTGCAAGTTGCTTTGGTCAGCTCAACAACCAGGAGTATGATGATGACACAAATGTCTTTTTCCCAGTCTGATGCAGTGGACAAGGAAACCAAATAAACGTCTGGCTTAAAACTAAATCCGGATAAATCTACGTTAATATAATGAAAATTCCAAGTGTTGAATAGTACATATAAAAACAGAGGTAAAATCTTTGATAACAAACTTAGATTTCATACATAGGTTTCTAAAGTCCTCCAAAATGCGTATATTGATCTCCGTAACATCTACAAAGTAAAGTAGTTCTAAACTCTCTGTGAAGCACTGGTTCTGAATCATCTGAATTATTGTAATTTTGTCCTGATTGGGATGTTTTGAGTAAATATAAATCGCAAAAAGTACTTCTGTGGTAGATTTCTCATTTTTAATAGATTTGAGGATATAAAATAGTTAAATATATGGAATCTACATTTTATTTGTTTACTACTAAATAGTAGACGTCCCTCGAACCTATTGAAAAAAATATCTCGTAGAAATTGCATTCATTTCCTTGGAACTAGTTTTATCTGTCAGTATGACAGTCAAAACGAAGTTAATTAAGCTTAAGTAATTTCTTAATTATAGATTAAGAAGATTATGACTTAAGTCTCCCGTCTGTTAGATGGATTAATCAGTATCCTCGGATTAGCCAAGTGCTTTTAAATTTCAATTTAAAGACATTTTTTATGGAAGAATACCTGGATACCTGTCACGTTCATGTTGTAGTGTAAGATTGGTATACTAAATGAAGTTGTATGTCTTGTTACATACCGGATTAAGTTAACAGCTCAGCTGACCTTCGTCGAGCTTAAAATCAAGGCGATTATATTTATTTTAATATATTTGTCAAAATATTAGGAACTATTAAAGTATTACCTATGTTACTTGCACATACATTGATGGAAAATTTAAGTCGAAAGTTGGTTTTTCGAAGAATCCCTTACATATTCAGGAAATCAGATCAAAATATAAACCTTTCAACTTATAGTACATAAATTTATAGTTACAAGACTAAATTCCAGAACTTCTTTAGTATCTAGTTTCATAGCACAATTGTACTAGAGAATTCTCCCCTACTCAGGATTCAAAACGGTTTCAATTCTTTTAGTGATGCGCAAGATGTTGATATTTTTCCCATTTCATTTTCATTTTCTTTGAAAATATTACTAAAAAAAAATTATTTAATTTAAGAATTTAAACTATTGGCATTTTTTTCGTACATGTACATGTAACATGTACTCTTTGCATCTAAGTTCGCAATAAATAAATGGCAAATGAAATGAGTATCTGCTAACTAAACCTGCTAAATTAAAAACAAAAGTTCGGAGATAATGGGAATAAAAATACAGAAACACAATGTCAAACGAACAACAAAATAAGAATCTTATCAATTCGGTTTGCTTGAAACCATCAAGTGGCAGACTACTTAATTGAAAAAAAAAAAAACGTAATGACTAGTTTTTGGAGTTAGACTGATAATCCTATAAAACAGTAATTTTTTGTGTATTTAATGTATTGCTTATAGTGTGTGAATTGTAATGGCAATGAAGTTAATCTAGTTTTCATAAATAACAAATGTTATTCCCGCTCTGTATACATATACATACGCATTTGTTTCTCAGTAGAAAGATTTTTTTACTACTAATGTTTAGTTCCGTATATTCTCACTACCGTTCGATACTTTTATTTGCAGATTACCTCTTCCTTATCGGTTACTGTTTATGTAGAAGACATAAACGATCATGAACCTGTTTTCGTCGGTGCACCTTACAAGGTCGAGGTTGACGAGTTATTCCCAGTAGGTATGTTTGATCGCTCTCTAATTATTACTTTTTTAATTGGCTCGGGTTTTAATTATGCAAGCAAAAAATACGCCTTCTTTAGAACTAGAATGTACGGGGTTTATGGGATATGAATATAACCTAACTAAATTTTTCAATAAATCGACAATTTTAAATCGATCGCCAAAACTAATTTTGAAAAAATGTAAGCGTTTACAGAGCTTGTATTATATTTTACAGAAATTAATTACCAAGGCGGATATCAAACTCCTTCAGTGTTTTAAATGTTCCACGTGTAATTTTATATAGTGGATTCATGGAAATGAAAAACCAAAAGAATTTTGTATTTAATTTTTTTTGTAGTAATTCATCTTACATACAGGGTATCGGAAACAAGGTTCCTTTCCCCTTAACTCATAAATTACGAACGTAAAGTGTCAGCTGGATTTCTTAAATTTTATTTTTTCATATACAGGTTGTTTCAAACGTAATGGGTCATAAAATATCTTTGTATCAAAATATTTCGATTTGTCAAATAAACCTATGTCCTAAAGCCAAGCATTAGTTTTTTTTAGTTTTTCGTTTGTTATTACTTACTTTTACAATTTTAAAATTGTAATAACAAAAATTCCCGGGGTTTCAGGAGATGAAAAACTAAATAGTGTAATTTTTCAAAGAAACTTCCACAGACTACTGTAATGCTTTTTACAACACTTTTGGATTCCTCCTGCGTCTGTTTTTGCTTAGTCGAAATTGCTGACGTTTCGCCAATCATTCTGTTGGCTTCTTCAGTTTCTGTCAAACTCTGTAGAAGCCAACAGGATGATTGGCGAAACGTCAGCAATTTCGACTAAGCAAAAACCGACGCAGGAGGAATCTAGAAGTTTTGTAAAAAGCAACTAGATAGTGTAGTCAGTTTTGCAATAGTTTGTAGGTAGCGCCACCTGCGCACATATTCTCAAATTTAATTTCTGACAGGACACTGTCATTTCCCATTATTCTCTATGTAAGAAAGGTGTCATTGTTCAATATATGTACCGTGCGTTCAATTTATAATAATAATAATAATAATAATAATAATAATAATAATACATTTATTGTTATAGCCATCAAAGTTACATAGAAATTATTACATAACCAAAGTTAAATAAGTGAAGTAATGGTCAACAATAGACCTTGTTAGGGCAACCATCTAGAAGTTCTAGATACTGTTCAGGCCTCAATTTAACAGCGAAAATATAATAATAAAAAATTTCATAGAATTTATTTGAAAGCGCCAAGCGTAGATACACATAATTCTAAAGTGATTCACACAGCAACTTACGAGTTCCCTGACAAAGTACATGTCAATTGCCGTAAATTAATTTTAAATTAGCATAGGCAACCCTTAGTTTATTAGTAATATGTTCTCTGAAACGCAACTGCGAATCAAGAGTGAGACCCAAGCTTTTGCATGACTCAGAGAGTGGCAATTTTATGTTATTAAGTTTAATTGTTATGTTATACTTTGCATGGGTTAAATGATTATCATTTCCAAAGAGTATTACTGAAGATTTATTAGAGTTAAGCTTTAGGAGGTGATCTGTTGCAATGCTAAAAAAATTTGATAAATCAGTATTGGTGACATCCTCCGCGGTAGCTATTTCTTGAGGAAAAAAAGAGTAATAAATTTGAGTGTCATCCGCAAAAAAATGACAGTTGCATTGGTGGAGGGCTCCAATGAAGTTCCTTCCATGTTGACGGAAAGTACGAATTTAAGATACACTCATTTATTATATGCGTAATGTATGGGGCAATATATGGACAGCAAAGAAGTATTAATGATATATTTATATCATCATGGCCCGCAGCTTTAGATTTTATATTCTTCAGAATGTTGAGAATCTCATCTTCCGTGGACAATACAAAGTCAAAGTGATCCGTTCTGTCGTTTAACCTATTATCATAATAAAAATTCAGCAGTTCTGGATTGGGGCTATCATTATTTTCCACACTGTTTATAAAAAAATTATTAATTTGATCGACATTATCTAAGTGACTTGGCAAAGTACCCCTGTTACATTTTACAACATTAAGTTTCCTTAGTTCGTTCCATTTCTCTTTGGCATTACCATGACAAAACTTAGTTCCTAAATAAGCTTTTTTCTCTGATCTAATGGCCGAATTCGTATAATTACGTAATTGTTTGTAATGCTCGTAATGTGCTGGAAATTTAGTCAGTTTAATTTTTTTTAGCGCTTTATTTCTCAGCTTTTGTAGAAGTTTTGTTTTCTGTTATCCAAGGCGCATAGTTATAGTTTTTATTCTTCCTAAAGCGTTTTAACGGCGCGTGCTTATTAAATAGTTCCAATATGCAGGTATTTAAGAGGTTTAGCTTTTCTTCAATGTCACAAAAATAAAGTAAGTTATATAACGGTAAATCTAGTAGATCCCTCTTAAACTCCTGAAGATTAATGGTTTTTAATGATCTATAATAAAAACTTACAGGTTCATTATCTGCCAAGTCTAGAATGAATTTTATGTATGTCAAAAAGTGGTCAGCGATGTTATTGTCGACAACTCGTACATCAGACACGTTTTTTACGTTGGTAAATATTAAATCTAAGAGCGACATAGAATGTAATGCAATGCGGGTAGGTTCTTATATATATTGGTCCATATTGAAAGTAGAAAACACAGAAGTTAATCTAGTTCCAAGATCAGTATTTAAATTAAGCATATTGATATTGAAGTCACCAAAGCATTTTAAGTTATTATAGTCCGAGTATATATTAAACAAGGATTCCTCAAGGGTATTAAAAAATTGTGATACGTTAGTATTAGGTGGCCTGTAAACAGTACCCACCATAAAGGTTCGATTATTTAACAGTACTTTAACCCATATGTATTCAATATGGTCAAGACAAGCAGAGGCCAAAACTTCACACCTTAAATTATTGTTAACGTACACTCCCACACCGCCTCCGCGCCTGTCCAGAGGATTGTGATGCAGAAAATTACAATTCGGAATGCCTACCATCTGATCAACCCCCGCACCCTCGCACCCCCGCACGTTTCAGATACACCAACGATATCATAATTGTTACTCAATAATTGGTTTAGAAAAGAGTCAAAATTGGCCAGCAAGGACCTTACATTAACATGTGCGGCACAAAAATTAAGATCCATTGAGAATTAAAGGAGGGAAGGTTACGAAGGAAGGAAATAGTTATCAAATTCAAACAAGCAGTGGACAGTACGAGGGTACCAAAACCAATAAAGTTGGTGCTGCATGTAACCTAAAGTTAATTTGAAGTGTATTATACAGAAACATATAAATACTGAAAAAAGCCTGTATCGGACATGTGGCATATGTGACATACCTAAATTACAAGATATAAAAACTATTATTCGAAAAGTATATTATAATTGACTAATCTCATGGTGGTAAAGTTTTTACTAACAAGCTGAGAAATGTGAGGTTAACACTGCTTATCACTAAGATTAATAACGAAGAAAAAAAAAAGCAAGCTGTTATAATTTGATTCACAATTAATTTCTGTAAAGTTGGAAAGAAAAAAAATAGCTGTGAAGTGAGGTGAAACGTAGCTACATACAGTTATTCCTTGATTTGGTCGGTGATTTGGTATATGTCGTCCTCATCCTGAACACGATACACTCCACCACGGCATTTAATGTAAATATTGCCGTTAGGACACCACACGCTTTTTTCGGAAAATTTTTAAATAGGTGCAACCGTGATTGGGTAAGGTCCTCCTTAACTACGATGCCAGAGTTTTTAAGTGCTTTACGATGTTTTAACACCATTGCACGAGCGTCAGCACTATGGAACTGAATTAAAATAGCCGGCGGCTTGTTTACTATCGGATTTTTTGCTCCTACTCTATAGCAGTTTTTTATATCATTGTTGTCAATAGTAATGTTCATCTTTTGTTGAAATACTTTCTTTACGGTGTTCAAAATATTCTCATCCTTTTCGAAATGGACACCGAAAAGACGAATATTCTGATTGCGGCTATGTTGTTCCTGCTGATCAAGTCGTTGTTTTAAATCCTTATTTTCCTGCGCCATCCTATTCACCTCTTTGCGCAAATTGGACACTTCGCTCTCAACCCTCTCTATTTTTGACACAATTTTTTCTTCGAGTTTGGCAAGTAGAGAGCCAATAAGTCGGTCTTGAAAATCGTCACCAACAATTGTAGCGGTAATTTGATCCGCAACAATCTTCCGAATATCCTCAATATCATTCCTTAACAGTACCATTGTATAGGTTAGGTGTACAGCAACCGCACGGTAAACAAAACACTTATGCCCTCACGATAGAAATGACAAAGCAACTTCCACCACAGTGCTTCAGAAGAAAGCAACACTGATTTATTAGCGAAATTAAATTTTTCAGTAAAAATCAAGAAAATTTGAGAACACACAGCACACCGATACCTTCTACTCCAGCGCCATCTATATATATCTTGATAACATTTTAAATGACTGTAACTTCTTTGTTTTTAAAGATATCAAGGTAAACAGAAAACCCAAATGTGGGTTTAGTAGTCAAGCAAGTGACGTATAAAACCAAACACTATCAATTTTCTGACATATCAGCCTACAACATTAATTTTTAAAGGGAACACTCTGTATATAATATATGCGTCAAATAGAATATCTTATTCCGATTACAATGATGTAACACACTTTATGTTTTAGTCCACTCGTTTTTGAAAAATCGGCAAAAATAAGAAATTTTTATATAATTTCAAAGAGTGCCGTGACAACAATAATTATTTTCAAATTAAATTAGAACAAAAACACTAAAAATGACAAGACACACTAAAGTAAAATATTATTTAACTATTCTAAATACTGGTAATTGCATGATGTCTTTCCATCTATGACACCACACCAAACATTAATGGGTTGGTACCCCTGGGTTTTTATTTCGTGTATTTTTCTAGGATTATTTAAAGATCAATATCGCGTATTTTATCTATTACAACCCTTTCAGGTAGTGAACGAACTTTCATCAGTCCATAAAATATTTTTCAAAAAATTATTATTCTCATTATGTCTATTTAAAAAATCCAAACACTGCATCCTCCTTTGACATTGTTCTGCACTGGGTTTTTGAGTTTTCCGAATTTTAAATGCATTATATTTATATTTGTTCCGAGCTGAGTGGATTGATCCTCGAGAAATACCTTTCTCTTCATATACTCTAGTAACAGAGGAAACTGGATGTGCTTCTTAGAATCCCGATATATTCCGGAATACCTTTTGAGCATTTAATACGTTACCGTTTTTTACAAATTTCTTTGTCAGCTTTGGAAATACCTGTTTTGAAGAAGCTCGGCGCTCTGGTTAAAGTCTATTATACTGACGATGAGCTGCAGTTGCACTTTTATTATTCAGAAAGTATACTTGAAGCTAAGTTCGCAAGAATACCTTTTAACAATAATGACTTGCACAATAATTCAACGATCAATGTTGTTTACTAATATGTCAAACATGAACAGATTTTTATTTGTCAGTCAGGGCACCCGTTGAAATTATATAAAAATTTCCTATTTTTGCTGATTTGTCAAAAACGAGTGGACTAACTAATAGATAAAGTGCGTTACTACATCATTGTAATCGGAATAAGATATTCTATTAAACACATATATAATATACAGGGTGCTTTTAAAAAAAATATATTTTTTAGGTTTATATGTCAGGAAATTAATAGTGTTTTGTTTGATACGTCACTTGCAAAAAAAAAGGCTACTAACCCCACATTTTGTTTGTTTGATTACTTTGATATCTCTAAAAGCAAAAATTTACAGCCAACTAAAATGTTATCAAGATAAGTTGAACGCACGGTACTTTAATTATTAAAGATATTACTTTTAAATGAATCATCAACAGTTGCTAGTAAATACCGACTTTTGGGGACAGAAATAAACAACCGATTGTGTTTTTTTATTACTACTACAAATTAAAAAAATGTATTTAATTTACAATAATAATTATCACAAAAAAACAAAAACTTAAAGTAGTTGCTCTACGATACATACGTCGCAGCATTAAAATTTCTAATTCCCACAAATGAATATTAATAATAACTCTACGGGTAAAATTAGTCTCGTCAGTAATTAATATTTCGTTAACGAAAGTAGGATCCATTGTTGTTGTTGTGTTTACCGCACAAAGACCCATCAAAGCCTACCCTAATTTTATAAAACGTTAACTGAGACTCAAAACCTACTTTAATTTTATAATATGTAAAATTAAAAACTAAAAAGTAAAATATCATATCTAGTAGTATACTTGTTCTTGAAGTAAAAATATCTGGGGATAAATTATTAACCTCCAGAACTGTAGTACCTCTTACCGGAACCGGAAAATGTATTTTATATTGGCAAAAAACGCGTTGCATTGCATTGCTAAGTAAAAGTGTAAATATTTTGGGTTAATGGGGCACGGAACCTTTTTGTATGGCTTATCATATGCCCGTCCAATTTGTTGCGTCACTTTCCTACTCTATCCTCGTTACTGTTTAACCACAATGCCTTGAATTTCAGCCGTAGGTAAACAAATTTCTAACGGCTGTTTGTCGTAAATAGTAACACCGGAATACCTAACGCTACCCTGATAGTCTATACTTAAAGGAAATTATTACAATTCAATCTCGGTTATCGAACGGATTGCTCGACGTCGAAAAAAGCGACAGCGAAGGAATCCAATGGGTTTATAATAATACTTTTGTTGCAGGACTAACATTGTTCAGAGGAATAAAAGCTGTCGACCGCGACAAACCTAACACGCCCAATTCCGACGTACAGTACGCAATAATTGCAGGAAATGATCGCGGGAAATTCGCCCTCGAGAGCAGTCAGCAACCGAATTTGATATTGGAAAAGGCTTTGGACTTCGACTCGGGCGATCGAGATTATGTGCTTACCATTACCGCGATGGTAAGTGGTCTAATAAGAACAACATTATTATGGCCAACTCGAAAATAATATACATTTTTTGTGGTCAATTTTGCTATAATTTTTTTATCCCGAGTCACTTCGCTTTACGCAAAAGGGTAACAACAGTAATTATAAAGGCCTTTATTGATAAAAAAAAATACAAATAAACTGTACATTATCTAATGCTTTAGGAGAGTTTCAGTTCTGCCAGAAATGGTCAATACATCAGTTTCCTAGGTGTTGTTTCAACTGACCTAGGAACTGACTTATAAACTAGACACCATAATCACATTATTCATAAAGGAGAAAGTAAGAAATTACATGAAATCTATATAAAATAAACATGTCTTTTAATGGTGGTCCAAATTCGAGGGGCCTCTATGGCTTTAAGCATTTGCAGCATAGTTAGCCCAAAACTAATATGCATGTAAAAGGCTCGATTTTCGAGAGAAGTCGAAAACTGAAAACCGCATCATGATACGTCAAAGCGTTTCGGAGCTACAGGGTGATTCTTAAAAATGTGCGTTTCTAATAACCCTCTATAACTTTTTTATTTGTAAAGATAGAGATTTTTATTAAAAACCTTTTTTGAAGATTTTTTAAGGACAAACCTACCTGTCTCACCGATTTTATCTTAAAGCCTTTAGTTATTTTTTTTAAATGGAATACTGCAATTAAAAATAAATCTAATAAAATTTCCTGTCAAACGATGTGCGATACACCTATTTTTATTAAGTAGTTCAAAAAATATTTGCAATTTTTAATAATTACCATTTTAGGCTATGCTTAACTCTGACCTATGCAGTTTTACGATATCTATCTAGGTAGCTGTGATCAGGTAAAAACAATTGCCATGATACACAACCCCAAGTATCAAAAGTGGCGTCTTCCTCAAGCTATAAAAATGTTTGAAAACTTTGAAAAGTATGACATGATAAAATGTTATATTGAAAGTAACGAAAATAGACAGAGTGCGTTATTTCTAGATATCCGGAAAGAAGGCAAGCTCAAAAATATTTTTGAAATTAAAACGTCATCTACAAGAATACGGATTCAGAGTTGGAAGAAGTAACGGTTCTGGGAGAAATAGAAATTAACCCAAATACTTCCACCAGGGCTATGGAGAGAAACACTGGATACAAGTTCGACCCCCGACAGGTGCATCAACTGCAACGAGATTTTGCTCCAAGACGTGTACTTTGCAGGTGGTACCTAAATAAATGCCAAGAAGACCCCCAAAGTTATTTGGACGGATGAGGCAACGATTTCTAGTGATGGAATATTCACCATGTATAACTACTATTACTGGAAATAGCAAAAACTGCATATTATGGTCGACCAAGCGAATCAGGGAAGGTTCAGTTTTAAGGTACAGGTACAGAGAATAGCGTCAAGAGAAGATGTTTACAAGATGTTTACTAGAAAGCGGCCGTCAATTTGAGCATTTGTTTTAGAACTAAAGAAGCTTGTTAGATGTAGATTTTAAGTGTTACATAGTTCAATTAATAAAAATTTTAAATAAAAAAATTGCTTTTAATAATTTTATTTCCGTTTATTATTTTAGGGTCGGTAATTATTGTAAACTAAAAGCTGTATCCCCTCGTGTCGTACCCAACTTGATTTTGTATGAAAAAAAAAACAATAAATTTTTATCTTCACATTTAGGGCTCGCACAGCGCCTGCTATAGTAAATTTTAAACTATTTAATAAAAATAGGTTTATGGCAAATCGTTCGACAGGAGATTTTATTAGAACACTGATTTTTTAGAAAAATTGGGGGTTTCCCATTTAAAGAAATATAACTTTGTGTGACATCTCGGGAACTAAAGGCTCTAAGACAAAACGGGTAAAATGGAGAGATTGCCGCTTAAAAAAAATTATAAAAATGTTTTTTCCCAAAACTCTATTCTTACATTTAAAAAAGTCATAGAGGGCCTTTAAAATCGCACATCTTTGAGAATCAACCTGTAGCTCAAAAACGCCTTGACATATCACGATGCGGTTTTCAGTTTTTGATTTCTCTCGAGCCCGTAACATGGTTACGGTAAATGCTTGTGTTATATGTGCGTGTAAGGTTCATGTAGCTCCTGGACTAATTTAATTTTGTAATGATGGAATTCGTGTCTATGTAGAATTTAGCAACCAGTGCCTCGAGAAGCATCCACTGTAACAGACATTTTTCGAGATGGACTGTTGTTCTAATAACGTAAGTTGCCCTAGAACGGAAACTACTTTCTAGTCTCTAGTTTTTTATTGGCTGATCCTGTTTCAAAAAATGATTGCATTGATGGATGAGGATGAGCAGTATTAAGCTGTCTAGCTGTGGCTTGTAAATTAATTGTTCTAGTAAAATCATATAACTTCAATAATATAAATCATTTTTACTGCAGATAGGTACTTGTAAATGTTGATATTGAAATGAAAACTAAGCAATTTAATTGACGCTTTATTTAAATAAATTCTAACACTAGCTTCTTAGTCGCTATATTTTTATTCCCAAACAAATAATCGTTTTCTTAATTCAGCAGAGTTGGTGCCACAGTAAAGGCATAGTTTACACTGAAATTATGCATACCTTCCAACTTATTGACTTTTAGCTTCATGTATTACACATTTTTGAAAAAAAAAATTGACGAATTACGTGGGGTCGATAGTTTCCAGGGAAATGCTTACACCGGTACTTCTCCCACCGTCATATCACAGTAAATTAAACCCCATAGAATTAGTGTGCATAAGGAAAACAGGAAAATCAAGGATGTTCAAACATTTTTTTGCAGAGGGAATAAAGACATAAAGAATAAAGTTTAAGTGAGTTTAATAATTATTTGCATTGCATTGTGATGGTTTTATGTGGAAGATTTGAAAACATTGGATTTAAAAATATTATGCATGGTATCCCATTTAAGGGAACTAAATTTCCTGATTTATTCTGCTATTGGAATTAGCCAGCTTTATGTAAATGAAAAATGTATACCGTACGCAATAGTACACTTTTATCTAAGTTTTAATTTAGCCTCCATATCTGTCCCGCTACTGACCAACTTCTTAGTATATGGGATTTCTAAATCTAGTTAAACTTTTTGCATCTGATTAGTGAAATATAAGTAAATCACTCAATTCAAATTAAATAAAAAGATTATATCAAAATATTTCATTCCAAATCATTATTGAAATGGTGATCGTATATGGTGGCAATTATCTAACATAACCGTAAAACATCAATTTTTTTATTAACCTTTGGAAAATTTGAAATTTTTAATATGCCGAAGTATTGAGATCAAGCAAAGACAAAAAGTAGCAATAGTTCCATCAGGCGGTACGAGCATATTTCATTATTCATTCACCATAATTATTGCTTCTGGTAAATTGTTGTAACTTTCGATATCTAGTTTCTCTCTATGCTGCAATAATGAACAGTATTGCGTAACAAAACACAATTATTAACTATTTTCTTTTATTAACGAACCACTGCGCTAAAATGCACAAAAAACCAGACTGATTGAGTGGAAATTCTAACTTAAAAATAAACGGCAATCGATGGTAAGATTATTAGGAAATATGAAATAATTTTAGTGACAAACAACTTAAATTAGTCGGCATCTCTCATAACCATGAAATATAGTAACATACTAAGCTAGAATATTCTTATTTAATTAGAGGACATATAAGGAATTCCTTGCACAAAATTCAGGATTTTGATTTAATGTCTGATGCACAACAATTTGGTCAAATTACTAATATTAAAGATTAATAATAATAGCATAATAATATAATTATAGGGACAAATTAAAAAAAAAATGTTGTTCTTCAGCTAAAGTTCGCACGCTGTATAACAAATATTTTGTGGTCTATTCTTAATTGCTTTGAAACTAGATATTTCAAAAACTTTTACTGTTAAGCAACTTATAATAGCTAGCGTTTTTTTGGTGAAGATAAATACTTTGTTTGAACAGTTGTAACATCTTAAAAAACTGCACTATTTTTAAAATATTTCCTAAAGCATGACCCGAGCAACGCGTTAAATGAGATATCGAGAGGACATAATTATTTTCTTAAAAAAGATATAATATTGTTTTTTATTTTTAGTATTTGGTTCGCAAGATCACCTGTTTTTTAATGACATTGAATGTGTTCTGCACGTTGTAACACAAATGACCATTAGTTTGGTAAGTTTTGGTGAAACATTTTTGATTTTTCATTTTGTACAGGATGAGTTCAAAGGATGGGTCAGCTCGTTAATGACAGATTGTTTTGGTTAGTTAGACTCTCACGTTTTCTAAAGAGAAGGAGGAATGTATCTAAAAATGTACTCTAGTTTTTACATATGTTGTTCAAATTTGGCATGTGCAATTATTTTATTATTATATTTTCTCGATCTACGCCTAGAATTTTTTTTTTCAATAAACCTTCCACTCCACATAATTTTTTCCCTCTTGAGCATTTTGGATGACAATTATTGTGTCATTTCTCGTGGCTTGAGGATGCCTTAAAATTTTAGAATGGACGTGATGCACTTGCCAAATAATGGTACTACATTCTAACGTCTTTCTCGGTCGAGCCCCAATCGAATCTTAATTCCTCTCTTTTTTTATTTTAATTCACAATAATATATTTTTTTCACAGTTTGAATTTAAATGATTTTTATGATACTCTTCTTCATTATTTAATTAATAAGCGACAAACAAGTTTTTAAGTTTTTTGGGTTTTTGTTAATATGAATTATAATTACATAAAAATATGTTATATACTAACAGGCAATTTTTCAAAATTTTATATATTCGTTAATTTCTTAATTAATATGGTGGTCAATTAAGGAGCTAACCCGGCCATATCTCGAAAAGTAGCTCAAAACGACCGAAATTATTTTTAAGTTCCTAGAATTGCCACCAGGGCAACATTAATGTGAGTAAAACAAAAGAATAACTCGAAATCCTATTTTTCGTTCTTTTAATCAAATATAGATAAGTTTACTGGATATTCCATATTCATTCGATATGATTGAATGTTACCGATGTATTTACACGTAATTCTAAACTTTTTAAAATCCTATGAAAACAAAACATCAAAATTTAAAGTGGTGGTAATATATTGTACTGCAATACTCAATCATATGGGAAAGAATATGAATTATTATTGACATTTTCAATATATGCATTTAAAATGATATTTCAAATCAAATTTTGGCTATCTAAATAAATACAGATTGGAAGTTTTGCACAGTCATACAGGTTGATGGTTCCTTTTTTTAAGATACTCAACTGAAATTTCAATTTTAAACGCGGCCTACCGTGAATCAACAAACTCAAATTTTCGAAATTTTGGTTCGCGTTAGAGATTTAATAAAAAGTTATTTTAGAAAGTTGTTCCGAATATTATTCTATCCAAACATTTAAAATTTTATGACAACATTTGCATTTTTAGTTTTTTCATTATTTTGGTAAATATACAAAATGATTAAAAAATATGTTTTTTTTTATTTGATAAATTACTGGATAAAAAAATATCTACAATATGTCCAATTTTATTATTGTTAAAAGTATATATATTACATTACATATATTACATATACATATTACATAATTAAATCAATAATTTTTTAATTAATAATTAATTATTTTAAGATTCCGCCTTGATACTCTTTTAAGTTCTGGGGTGCTAATTTCTTGATGGTCTTATCTAATTTTGACCCAAAGTTTCTCTACATTTCTGGGCCTAGATTTTATCACTCCCCAAAAATAAAAATCTAGTGGTGTAATATCAGGGTACCTTGGAGGCCAGAGTTCAAAAGTAGTGTTTCTTTCTATCCAGTGCAAAGAAAATTTATGGTTTAACCATTGACTAACAATGCTTGAATTGTGAGTCAAAGGACTCTATAGCTGTCATACATTGAGAAGAAGATTTGCTATTGCATCCCAAAAATCTCACAGAAGACATCTACTTTTTGGGAATATTGATCTTTACAATTTGTATCCCAGAGGATACATAATCGTTTTCAGAAAATACTTTTCATGTATGTGAGAACTTGGGTTGATAGGGCATGATTTTGTGACTGATGGAACATCTTCTGATTTTATACTTACTAACATTCAGCAGAGATGATAACTCTTATCTCAATACTCATACGTGTATTTGTTAGATTGGCCGCCAGTATCTGCATTTTAACAACACTGCCAGTTTCATTGAAAAGACCACACGGTTATCACTAAATAGAAGTCAATCTACTGAGTTAATAAACTGATAGTAAAAATATAAAAGTAAAAAGTATAAATGTGAATGTCCTCTTGAAATTTATTATGTGGGGCTGAGATAATATTCGGAACAATTTTTTTCAAATAATATTCTCCTGTATCTCTAACGCGAAGCAAAATCTCTTCCAAATTGACCCTGAGTGTGGATTAGTAGTAGGCAACTATTAAAATTCAAATTTCAGTTGAGTAGCTTAAAAAATGTGACCATATGATTGTACAAAAGTTCAAATCTGTATTTATTTAGATATCTAAAATATAAGGGTGTATTCATTTTAAACACGGCACATTGTATATTTTACTTAAATATCGAACATCAGTATTTAATAATGGTAGGTATCCTGAATATATCCCTAAAGATAGCGATATCATTTTGTTTTAATCTCTTCTGAAATTTTTGGCTATCTTCTGTTGCAATAAAAGTATTATGATTACATTTAATTTTTTTGAGAAAATAAATTTTATTCGTAGTATTTATCTATTTATTTTTTTATTTACTTTAAGCTTACAAAAGGTGAAGTCTGATCTTACGACTATTCACAATTAACCATAGTAATGTCACAAGTTTGATCAAATGCGTTTAGCAATTCTGAAGTTATTTACATTTAAATCGATATGGAATCGAATTTATCCCAATTTTGAAATGGAGTTCATTTTAGTTATCTGTGCTATAATACTATTTCTCAAAAAATGGGATTTAAAATTGAAGAATATGATTGCGCCCCCAGGCGGCCATTCTAGACGATCAAAAATTATTTCTAGCATTTTCTTTTGGCTACCCAATATAATATCTCATAAACTGCAACTGTCGTCAAATATTAAACAAGAGAGGAAAAATTAAAGCAAAGTTTGTAACGAACAAAGTCTTAAGGTCACGGGCGTAGATCGAAAACATTTGGTGGAGGGTGTACTCTTACTTCATTTACAAAATTTACGGGAAAATTAAACATACCAGCAAAATTTGTGAAAAACTGAGAAATTTATAAAGAAATATGCTATCCGGCCGCGAAAAGAATCGCATAATGAAAATCTCAATATTTTCAGATCAAGAGTCTGCCATTAATGGTTTGATCCGTATTTTGGACTCACGCTGTATATTAGACGGGGTCAAAAAAATCGACTATTTGTTTTATGAAACATATATCGATAAAATCATTCAGAATGACGAAAACAAAAATATCGTGAAAGTTCCGAGCCCTTATTATTAATTACAAAATGCCTCTCATTCGTATTTTGAATATTTTTATCCTGTTCTTCCTGCTGCGATTGAAGTAAAAATATTTTTCTGAATATATATTTTTGTAGGAAATTTAATTTTCAATAAAAAAGCTCTGTTTCATAATTTTCATGAGACTAGCTGTTTCCAATACATCACACCTTCAATATTAATGCGTTTTATAAATTTAACTTTTCCATTTTGGAGTTGTGTAACTTACAACTAATTCAATAAACGATAAAGAACAATTTTATTTTTTAAAGAGAATTCACGATTAAACTTGTTTTCTTTTTTTCGTTTTTTATCAAATTTCTTCCAGTCAATTTATCAAATTCGTATTTTACATCCCCTGAATTAATTACATCATTACATTCACAAAAACAGCTTTAAAAATAAAAATTATGTGTTTTTGCTATGGAAAATTATTTATTTACAATATTTTGCTCATTTCTAGAGGACCATGTTTTGTTAATATAATTGGTATTTATTTGTAGTTTTCCTCCCTTACCCGTCTATTGAAAACACCGACCGACACTCTGACCACTACGTCTATTGCGACCGAACAAGAATGACCTTCAAGTTTTTCGTTTTCATCAAAGTAATTGTAATTGTAATTCCGCACCTTAAGTTATTTTTCATTTTCCATTGGTCTAAAAATAGAACGAGCAAGGTAGGAAAGTTATAAATGAATACGAATTCATCTATACTAGTAAATATAATATTATACTAATGCGTAAGATATTGTAAATAAATAAATTTTAATTGTAACTTTTAAGGTTAAAATTACGATAATGATATATTTATGACATATGATTGATGATGCGGAATACGAATACGGAAAAATTGGGTGAAAGTCTACTGTATATAGAATTTGAATTATCCAGCTTTCCCATCCTGGTTTCATTACTAAAGCGCCATAATGTCATCGCATTCACATTGCTTGAGCAATAAGCAGACGAGTATCAGTTCTGGCTGATTCACGATTCCGAGTCATCATTTAACAGTGGGCGGTGAAGATCTGAGCAACCTGAGCTACAAACTTGCATGAAACCAATTCCAAAATCCCAACTCCAACCAATCGAGTTAGTAATCAGACCAGTAGTTTACCAAAAATCTCTTTCAGAAGAAGAATTAACTTGAAAAAACTGAGATGGACAGATTTTAGAGACTTAACTTAATGAATCACTAAAATAGATCGAACCCGAACCAGCGAACTATGACAAATTCGTTGAAGTGGATAAGGGAATTTCTGTTAAAACTATTCTTAGGGGTGCAGCCAAATTTTAAGGGTACCATAAATAGTTTCAGATACATATTTTTCTACTGAAGAGCAAGCAGGAGCTATAAATAATCTTAAAGCAGGGAAAGCAGCAGGTCTTTTCAAGTGTTTGTTGGACTTTTTCAATTCCTATTGGAAAACAGCGAGAATTCCGAAGAGTTCGACCCATCCACATCCAGCAAAACTCAAGTATGTCTATCTCACTTGAATAATAGAGCGGCTATAATGGACCTAAATATCGTTTGGGATAGAATTCGACTCGATACCTGCCCTCCTCCTACCTTTGGCTGAAGGTTAATCTATAAAAAAACATATGAAGAAAACAAAGGCAAAACTCCAAACACACACTAAACAAGCTAACATCTGTAAAGTGCAATTTGTCGTCTGGGAAAGACTTGTTCATACAAAGAAAATAGATAGATAAACATAGAATAGGCAAGATAACGGGCTGCTTGAAATCTACCAAAATGGAGCATTTGTATTGCTCCGTCTCACATTATCGTTCCTTAACTCGAAAGAACGGGACAAGCAACTAGATGATCAGAGACAATCACTTTTCAATCAATAACCTGTACCTAGGCGATTGAAATATAAGCAAAATTTCATAAATACAACTCAACCATTACATTGGCGAACTCTAATCATACTTCGCATGGGCATGAGCCAATCGAAGCAACTAATAAACAAATGGGGTTATACGGACACAATAGATGCCAAGAGATATATAGCGATGTCCTTTGGTGAATCGAGATATTAAATTTTAAATGTTTTTTATTTTTAATTTGTGTTAAAATATACCTATTCACAGGTATTTTCTTATATATACATGTAACCGTTTAAAGTGTCGGTAGTGTTTGATTTATCAATGTATAGTTCGTACACGATTAAAGATCGCATTCGGTGCTGAGCCAACAGTTTCCAGTCAATATTTCTTTACAGGATAGAGGCATGCCACCGAGAAGTTCGAATGCCACGATGCGAGTCAAGATCAACGACAATGATGATTTGCCTCCCAAGTTTACCAAGGGAATTTACAGGACTCGCATTCAAGAATTTTATCCGATTACCGTGAGTAAAACTTGTTAATTCAGACTTGTTACAGCATGGGAATCATCGTTTGTAAATATCATGATTCTGTATGGTATATGAAAGTCTACGGTAACCACAATCATAGAGAAGAAATATTGATTCTCGTCTAAGGCCCTTGCAATTTTCTATTATTTGAACTTGAAACCTAATGTAGTAGGCGTCTGTGATTGCTCATATTGTCCATTAGGATAACGCTGTTCTGAGGAATGTTGGGTTGTGACGTATTATTCAATGGCAGTACAACAAAATCAAAAAACATGTTTGTCCCCACCATTTTCTAACAAGACATATAAAATTGTTACTGATTTCATTGGGATCTTTATGACTCATCAATCTTATTATGGACCAAACTTTCTAAAGGATAAAGTTTTTTTCTAAATGCCAGAGAGACATACATGAATATTGATATTGCACTGTAAAACTTAGCGCTCTAACCGTGTTCTAAAAGGATAGTATTGTACCTATGATTATTGTCAAGGGTCCTGAGAGTGGCAGTTAGACGGACAGGTAGTTGACTTAGTGTTTAAATGTGGAATTGGAGTTTGGTTTTCAAAATTACTAGTGTGTCAATCGGATGTTTAAAACTGCCGTTTCTAAAATTAAAAAAAAAATATTTTCAATGTGTTTAAAGTTCGGTGTTACAAAAGAGTTGAAAATGTTCGAATTAAATCACCAAAGACAAAGACAAAAAAAGAACTGCAAAAAATGAGGACGAAAAGACGGTCATCAGAAGAATCATCGTTTTAATTTTTAAAAAATGCGTATCTTGAACAAAATAGTGCCTGAAATGAAAAATGGTGATTTCATTCCACCTATGGGTAAGAAAAAATTGCGAAAAATTTTGATGAAAATGAGTTTTCGCTATAAACACAGAAAATCACTTTCAATTGAGAAAGACGAATGTATCTGCTTAGGTAAATATACCTTACGTAAATATAACTTTAGTAAAGCAAGTGTGAAGGTCTAGACTTAGTTGACTTTGTTAATCCCTAGTTCGTTTATGTCCTTCCATCCTCGTCCATCCATCTCACTTCTTCTCCTGTTCGCATTGGTCCATTGGCGACGTTTCGCTTCCAAATAATACTATACGTCTCAGGACTGACTTGCAAATTCTTAGGTTTGCAGTTCTGCTAATAAGCTAATTCCTAAATTTTACTCCGCTTGCTCAGAAGTGTATACTTTCCCTTACTTGCTTGCTCTTATTAATTTAAACTATCCAACTTCACCAGATTTCATTTCGTTCAAGTCCCATTTCTGCTGCTCTATAAGTTTTTCGCCTCCATAATTAATAAGTTCGGCTATTAGATTATTCTTGTCGGCACTTTTGTTGATTTTATGTTGGCATATAATATTTTTAACTCTCTCATCTTTGATACATAGTCGTACAACACGGTTATCTAATGATTCCTTAAAATTTTCCTTGTCCCGTCAGTTTAACACCTCATCAAAATATTCTAACAATCTGCCTTTTCTATCTTTATAAATTGTACTTTCTGCTTAATAATTTCTTTCTCGTTCCAGATAGACTTTCCGCAATTCATTCTTTTTGTAGTTATTTTCTATTTCCCCTATGCGCTGTTCATGATGATTTCTGTTTTATTCTCCTAATATTTTTTACACCTTCCTTGTTATTCATATTTTTCTTCATGTCTTGCTCCATCCCTTTATTACTTTCATTTAATTAGATTTAACATATTTTATCGAACCACTCTCTAGTTCTTGTGCCATTTCCGTACTTATTCTCTTTCACATGCCTTCTAACGGGTGGTTAAATTTCAAGGGCCGATGTTGATTTTGAATAAAACACAAACTATTTAGGAAATTATTGTAATTTTATTTTATTATGATATATTGGTATTACTCAATTATGTATGGAATAAAATATCGGCCAAATGGGCGCCGCGACCACGGCGGCACACCTCGATCCGATGGTCCAAATTTTCGATGACCCTGAGGCATAATGGAGGTTCTATGCCGTTAATGTGCCGAATTATCTCATCCTTTAGCTCTTGAATTGTTGCTGGCTTATAGACGTACACCTTTTCTTTCAAATAACCCCAAAGAAAAAAGTCCAACGGTGTCAAATCACATGATCTTGGCGGCCAATTGACATCGCCATTATGTGAGATAACACGACCATCGAATTTGTTGCGCAAAAGAGCCATTGTTTCGTTAGCTGTGTGGCAAGTGGCACCGTCCTGCTGAAACCACATATCGTCCACATCCATATCTTCCAATTCGGGCCATAAAAAGTTCGTTATCATCTCACGATAGCGAACACCATTCACAGTAACTGCCTGACCGGCCTCATTTTGGAAAAAATACGGCCCGATGATGCCGCCAGCCCATAAACCGCACCAAACAGTCACTCTTTGGGGGTGCATTGGTTTTTCGACAATCACTCTTGGATTCTCATTCGCCCAAATGCGGCAATTCTGTTTATTGACGAATCTACTGAGGTGAAAATGTGCCTCATCACTGAAGATGATTTTCTTCGAAAATTGATCATCCACTGTTGCCATTTCTTGCCACTATTCTGCCCATTCACGACGTTTGGAATGGTCAAGAGGCTTTAGTTCTTGAGCCAATTGCACCTTGTAAGCGTGTAAATGCAAGTCTTTATGCATAATGTTTATCAACGACGAGCGTGAGAGGTGCAATTGTTGGGCACGACGACGAGTTGAGGTGGACGGCTCTTCAGCCACACTATCGCGAACAGCAGCAATATTTTCTGCAGTACGAGCTGTACGAGCATGCACTGGTGTTCTCACATCTTCTACAGACCCGGTTTGCTCGAATTTTTTCACGATTTTTGCGATTGTACGCACATTTGGACGATCAAATTGACCAAAAAAATCACGAAGTGCACGATATGCATTTTGATTTGAACGCTCATTTTCATAATAAGTCTGGATAACTTTAACACGTTGTTGGATTGTGTATCTCTCCATGGTTCAAATTGAGTAAGTCTGAAATAGAGAAATGTCAAATAAAATTCGGAAAAAAACTTGGCGTTTAGGTGTGGTTCACATTCAACATCGGCCCTTACGATTTAACCACCCGTTATATCAACAGTTGTCGATATATTTTCTAATTTACTTTCTAGGTTTGTCTCATTTGTCTCATTTTCTTGTAATTTGTTTTGTTTGGGTTTCTACCAAAGATTGGTCAGCCTTCCGTAACTTCTTATATTTGTTATAAGTTTTTCATGAAATCACTCCATCGGCGCATTATTAACTTGGTTAGTTATAGAACAAAACAGTTCTGATGGGACAAGAATTTCCAAAGCGCCAGGCAGGCAGAAGGAAAAGATTAATAATTACTCACATTGGTAGTGTCGTACTATCATTTCAACCAAAACGGATTGGACATTATCATGAAGACAACAATAATAATAATAATAATAGTAATAATATTTATTTAAGCCAATAAAAATATACAATATAACAACTTATTGTAATATAAACATTAAATTAATATTAATAAAAAAAACGTATATTCAAGGTATACTAAGTTAAAAACTTGACAGCCATCCTTGAACATAACGCAGATTAATTTAACTATGTTTCCCGTCTATCATATAATATGAAAAAAAAAACATAATGTTCTACCAAAAAGAAGAAACAATTTTATATAGTTACAATACATTAATGAATCTGTGAATTTGACTTATAATAAATAGTCACTTAGAAACTTACAAAAAGTTACAATTTAGCATCAATAAGCCACTTAATTTTTTTTTTTTAATGATTTTAATTTTATTTTATTTTTCAGTTTTAGAGGTAGTGCGTTATAAGTTCTTTGGTCAGTATGAAAGTATTTTTTTTGTCCAACAAATAAATTAAAGCGTGAGTTTTTGAATGGAGCAGTAAGTTATTTTTTATTAAGCACAAAAGGATGATATATAATATAACTTTCTTATTTAAAGTATTTGAGATTGAGTAAAAATTAAGTCAGATGGATATCGCCGATTTAACTTAAATATAATTTTCAAAATTCTTTTTATATTACGTAAAGGGGCTGAAGAGTTGTGTGATAGGCAGCACCCCAACAAATTATTCAATAAGATATAAGTGATTGTACCAGTGAAAAATAAGTAGAAGTAATTGCTTATCAGATATTTTAGTAAGTTGCCGGAATAAATACATTAAGGATCGTAACTTTTTCACTAACTGTTCGATTTGGAAGCTCCACTTTAGATTTGAGTCAATATATAATTAATTATAATTTGAAAAGGGCAAGTATTGTGTTTTATATAAATTGATTTTTAGTAAATTATTATCAAGCCACTGTGACATAAGTTGCAAGTCCGAACTAATGCGGTTCTCGACTTCGTCTAAATTGTTACCTTCAACAAACAAAACTGTATCATCGGAAAAAGAGATGATTTTACTGGGAACATCAATAGTAAGTAGTTGCTTTATGCTTTTAAGCAAAAATAAGGGTCCTAGCACTGCACCCTGTGGAATTCCATAGGTTACAGTTCTCGGCTTACTGAAACAGTTATTAATCTCTACCATTTGTTGCCTATCATAAAAGGCAATGTTTTTGAAGACTACCTCCATGCATCTAATCCCTCGGGGGTCTATAAAATAAAAAAATATATACAGAAAGGGAGCTATTGGAGATTGTAAATTTGAATAAACCCACTTTTGAAATAAGGGGCGTTGCTCTTGCAAGAAAATAAGAATTGTGAAAAATGCATCGAAGAAAGAACTCGGAAAGCTGATAACAATAGAAAACACGATATTTTTGGAATCTAAGTACTATAGCAAATCTGAGTACTTTTTACATGATGACCAAAATTTACAAGTAATTATATTGGTTTCAATTTATCCATTTTTTAGAACCCAAATGTATATGCTTCCTTCTTGTTTTATTGCGATTTGACACTTTTCTCGTACTCAAAGTCACCGCAACACTTTGCCTGAAACATAACAGTTTCTCAAACAAACTTCCACTGGCTACTATTATATTAT